ATGCTTTTTAAACCTCAGCAGATTTTTGATCATACAGTTAAATGCCTGATTACAAAGTAAGTGTACAGTTAGTGATGTCGGTCGAAAGTCAGAGACAAACAGAGACGAGTTATTAGAACGAAGTATCTTGTTTTTAAAGCTAGCAGACAGTAAATAACGTCAACTGGCACCTGCGTTTGTCCCACTTCGTCATAATATTTCTCTGTCTGTACTAACCATTCGTAAACATTCCTGCTGTCTTTTGACTTCTAGTGACCCTCTTGACATCACTAGAACCACCCTCTGCTGGTTGTTTCAACCAATCAGGAAGTACCACGTAACAGGAAGTGTATACCCCTTTAAAAGGAACACTTCGTGGAACTATTCAGTTTGGTCCTGGAGTTCGGTCCTGGAGTTTGGTCCTGAAGTTCGGTCCTGAAGTTCGGTCCTAGAACTCAGTTCAGTCCTGAAGTGCAGTCCTGGAGTTCAGTGCTGGAACTCAGTCGGAGTCTTAAGTCTTAGGGCTAAGTCTTTAGAACTTGGAGTGGATGGATGGGACCGTGTTCCAAGGGGTCCCTCCATTTAGCGGAGTCACGGCTTGCATCGCTGTGCACTCAACCCGAGCAGTAAATGCTCCACTTCTAAGGAAGCTTATTCGGTGGAACCGAGTACCTCATGAGTATATGCATTTATTCTAACGATTCCCAGCTACTTTAACCGGAGACGCTGTAAAGGGATCGTACTAATGGGCTTCTGTTCCGGAGTGGAGGTATCCCCATCTAAGGTAACAAAGTCTCTGCACGTCCTGAAGTGTACCGGAAAGCTGAGCGGGGTGTCGGAGGAAGGGTGCAAATTTCTGGTTTCACACATAGCTTCCATCTAAACCTCCTTTTAAATCTTTAAATCTATGTCTTCTCTTTAAACTTCTATTCGCCAGTAATCTAGATGCCTTCAGAGGTGAATCAGCCTCAATCAGTAATGTTCTGTTGTCTTGTGTGACAAGTTTATTAATCAGAAACAGATCAGCAAATCAATGTGTACATGTTTTGATGTTAAATTTGGATTCTGTTAAATAAATGACCACATTTATTCTGATGGGTCAAAGCTAAAATGGCGTCTCATGTCACTGATTAAACAGTCCACTCACAGTTATCTCAGTCACTTGGCATAAATTTAACTTGAAAAAGAAAAGAATCCGTTGTAATTAAACAATTAATATTCTTTGTGCTTGAACTAGCTTTAAGAATAATTAATTAGTCGTGTGTCTACAGCAAAGCTGTCCTGACATACTACAACAACAGTGGAAAGGAAAAACTCCCTTTTAAAAGAAAGAAACCTCCAGCAGAGCCAGGCTCAGGACAAGCGGCCATCTGCTTTGACCGGCTGGTTTGAGAGGACAGGAAGGAGAGACAGACGAACACAGAATGGTAGGTCCAGGTATAGGTCCAGGCGTACCTGAAAGACAAAAAAACACATTTTAAGGATAGAAAAAATAATTACAAATACAAAACAGTTTGAGCAGAGTAAGTAAAGACAGCAGCAGAGTGAAAGATGTGGTCAGTTTGTCCTCCAGCAGTCTAAGCCTATAGCAGCATAACTAAGGGACAGCTTAGGAAACCCAAGTCGACCCTAACTATAGGATTTAGCAAAAAGGAAAGTCTTAAGCCTAGTTTTAAAACTGGATAATGTGTCAGCCTCACGGACAGGGATTGGAAGTTGGTTCCACAAGAGAGGAGCCTGATAACTGAAGGATCTGCCTACCATTTTGTTTTTGTAAATTCTAGGAACCACAAGTAAACCTGCAGCCTGAGAGCGAAGTGCTCTGTTAGGAAAATATGGAACAATAAGATCTGTAATATAAGGTGGAGCCAGGCGTTCCTGGGCAAGACAATGACATTGCCTCCGATGTGTGTCCCATCCATGTATGAATGTGATAAAATACTTATTATTCTTTGTATAGATCTAATAGAGTGCTGTATGAATGGGTAAATGCGGCACAGATTGTGATGTAAAGAACTATGAGTAACTTGACTAGATAGAAAGGTGCTATATAAGTACCATTTACCATTTACAGCTGCTGCTTCTATGAGTGAGTTCACATGAGCTGCATCGAAGCTCAACTGCCACACTACACAAATTTCACAACCCTCCCATAGTCCTGGAGCAGTTCACTGCAAATCGGGATGTTATGAGATCTGATTGGTAAGTGCCTTTCGGCACAGCAAAGAAGAAATGCACTCGAGTCAAATCAGCTCTCTGCGTGTTGGAACAGCTCAGCAGGGGAGGCCTCGGTTTCTATTCACCATATGGAGAGGCTTTCATTAGGAACACTGATGGCAATTAGAACAAAATGTGACACCAGGGTGTGTATTAGCCATGTTTCCAATCCGCCCCATGTGAAAGCTGATTTCTCTGCTTTCAGAACTGGCTGGATCCCTCCAAAGAGATCAAGAAGCAGATGCGCAGTGAGTGTCGTTTCTGAGTAGCTGCACTAGAAGGAAAACTTTTCCTGCCATGCAACATTTTTGTTCTATGGCCGGACATGTCATGAACATGTCTGTTCACTCTATATGGGTAGATTGAAACCTCTGACTTTCACAATGTCTCCCCCCCTCAGACTCTTTGTGGCAGTTTGTGTTTGCTGTCAAGTTCTACCCTCCAGACCCCTCCCAGCTCACAGAGGATATCACCAGGTAACACAAACATACTTGTGCCAAATCAACACTTGTACTGCCTGTGCTTGTGCTGTCAGATTATTTTCAGTTAACCCAAGAGTAAGTTGCTCACACATCAGCTCTGTAGATTGTAGCTCTTTATTTATTTTGGCAAGGCTTGGTGTTTGCATGCATGTATTGTAACAATTCTTGTGGTGTATTTTCCCCAATGTCAAAGCAGCCACAATATCTCACTATTTTTCAAGGATTAGACTTGCTTCTAACAGCCGTGGATTAGAAACACTGAAAACTTGTTAGAGCTTGCATGGCTCAGGCCCATCTGACTGCCAACCCTCCCTCTTGTCCTTTTCCCTTTTCCCCGTCTGACAGATACTACCTATGTTTGCAGCTGAGAGATGATATCCTGTCAGGTCGGCTGCCATGCTCGTTTGTCACTCATGCACTTCTGGGCTCTTACACCATTCAAGCTGAGCTGGGTGACTATGACCAGGATGACCACGGTTCAGATTACGTCAGCGATTTCCGCTTCGCTCCGAATCAAACTCGCGAACTGGAGGAGAGGGTGATGGAGCTCCATCGAAGCTACAAGTACTAGAATGACACACTATTATTTTAATGCCACTTTAATCTATCCACAGACCTCTCAGTGATGGTTTTCTTTTGTTTTGAATCACTTTTTCATGGGTCTAGTGTTTCACAGATGCTCTGACATTATGCATCATTGACATGCACACAGTGTGGGTGAAAACACTTTCTTAGTTTGAGAGTTCTCTCTGTGCTCTGATGTTACAAGTTAATAAATCAAGTCTATTCCAATCACAGTCTGGGTTTATTACCTGTGAAGATGCTGATTACAGATGTTGTCCTGCACACAGGGGAATGACGCCAGCAGAGGCAGAAATAAATTTTTTGGAGAACGCAAAGAAATTGTCTATGTATGGGGTGGACCTCCATCATGCTAAGGTAGGCTCCTCCAAAATACTTTTATTTAAATGCAAGACAGCCTCATCAGCACATTCAGCATTACTCATAAATCATTTCTGCACGTGTCTGCCGCAGGATTCGGAAGGGATTGAAATAATGCTCGGCGTTTGTGCAAATGGCCTGCTGATTTACAGAGACAGGCTAAGAATCAACCGCTTTGCCTGGCCCAAGATTCTCAAAATTTCCTACAAGAGAAGCAACTTCTACATCAAGATAAGACCTGGGGAGGTATGCATCATGCTGACCCATAATTATAAAGAAATGGAATAGACCATTTTTTCATAGCTGGTGTGTGTGTGGACTTTGAGAGATGTATCAGTAGATGTGGACAAGAGACAACTGGTCTAAACATACTGTAGGTAAAGTAAGTTTTTCTTAACACTGACACATTCTTATTACTTTACTTGTTTTGCTTTAACAATGATTATTTTTATACACTACTAAATCTAGCATCTCAGTATGCTGCAACTGTTGGTGACAGGAATTTGCAAGGAAGTCTCCAAACTGTCTCAAAATATTTGTGGAGGTTCTCAACTCCCTTGAGTCTGAAAGGCTCAGATTCTTATTGCCTAAATTTTGTAAATGTTAAAGCATATTGTGTGACACATTCTCTCTTAAAATAGCCACAGAGTCATTGTGGACATCTCAGACCCACCTTGAAAGTGTTAATGTTGTATTTTGACACCTGCACTGGAAAGCCATCAGTGTTCAAAGACATGTACAATAACTTCTTTTTTTATGTTTTATGTGCAGACAATGCATTCATTGTATAAGTCTATATCTATATATTGTTTATATGGGAGTTTACGGCATTAAAATGTAAGAACCGGATTCCAAAAAAGTTGGGACACTAAACAAATTGTGAATAAAAACTGAATGCAATGATGTGGAGATGGCAAATGTCAATATTTTATTTGTAATATAACATAGATGACAGATCAAAAGTTTAATCTGAGTAAATGTAACATTTTAAAGAAAAAATATGTTGATTCAAAATTTCACAGTGTCAACAAATCCCAAAACAGTTGGGACAAGTAGCAATAAGTGGCTGGAAAAAGGAAATTGAGCATATAACGAACAGCTGGAAGACCAATTAACACTAATTAGGTCAATTGACAACATGATTGGGTATAAAAAGAGCTTCTCTGAGTGTCAGTGTCTCTCAGAAGCCAAGATGGTAAGAGGATCACCAATTCCACCATTGTTGCGCGGAAAGATAGTGCAGCAATACCAGAATGGTGTTACCCAGCATAAAATAGCAAAGACTTTTAAGTTATCATCATCAACCGTGCATAACATCATCAAAAGATTCAGAGAATTTGGAACAATCGCTGTGCGTAAGGGTCAAGGCTGTAAAACTCTACTGGATGCTCGTGATCTCTGGGCCCTTAAACATCACTACACCTCAAACATGAATGCCACTGACAAGGAAATAACAGAATGGGCTCAGGAATACGTCCAGAAAGCATTGTCAGTGAATACAATCCACCGTGCCATCCGCCGTTGCCAGTGCAAAGAGGAAGCCATTTCTAAGCAAGCTCCACAAGCTCAGACATTTGCACTGGGCCAGGGGTCATTCAAAATGTAGTGTGGCAAAATGGAAGACTGTTCTGTGGTCAGATGAGTCACGATTTGAAGTTCTTTATGGAACACTGGGACGCCATGTCATCCGGACCAGAGAGGACAAGGATAGCCCAAGTTGTTATCAACGCTTCGTTCAGAAGCCTGCATCACTGATGGTATGGAGTTGCATGAGCGCTTGGGGCATGGGCAGCTTGCATGTCTGGAAAGGCACCATTAATGCAGAGAACTATGTTCAGGTTCTAGAACAACATATGCTCCCATCTAGACGTCATCTCTTTCAGGGAAGACCCTGCATTTTTCAACACAATAATGCCAGACCACATTCTGCAGCAATCACAACATCATGGCTACGTAGGAGAAGGATCCGGGTACTGAAATGGCCAGCCTGCAGTCCAGATCTTTCACCTATAGAGAACATTTGGTGCATCATAAAGAGGAAGGTGCGACAAAGAAGGCCCAAGACGATTGAACAGTTAGAGGCTTGTATTAGACATGAATGGGAGAGCATTCCTATTTCTAAACTTGAGAAATTGGTCTCCTCTGTCCCCAGACATCTGTTGAGTGTTGTAAGAAGAAGGGAGGATGCCAAACAGTGGCAAAAATGGACTTGTCCCAACTTTTTTGGGATTTGTTAATGCCATGACATTTGGAAACAACAGATTGTCCCCTTAAAATGATACATTCTCTCAGTTTAAACTTTTGATCTGTGATTTGTGTTCTATTCTGAATAAAATATTAGATGTTGGCACCTCCACATCATTGCATTTAGTTTTTATTCACCATTTGTTTAGTGTCCCAACTTTTTTGGAATCCGGTTTGTAAAAAAATAGCAGTTGAACAGCAGTTTATCAGGCCATTGAAGGGTGGGAGCTGTTTTTTGATAAAGTGTCTTAGCCCTGGATTTGAACAGCTAATGAGAAGAGACGCAATTGAAGCTACCAGGAAGTACAGATGACAAAAATTGACATAAAATTGCTAAATCTATTTGTCCAACAATACATTGACAGCTCATTAGCAACTAATATTTTTCCAATTGTTTACAAGTTGATTACGCATTAAACTCAGGTAAAAGTCTTACGTTTTGGCACTTATGACATTCCATCCAGGAAGTCACTTTTGACAAAAACGTATCCAGGTGTAAAAACCAAGTCAAATATAAATAATAATTGTTGAAAACCTGGTCCAAAACTGCCTAGCTAAAATTTAAAAGTGTACTTCAGTAGATGAAATCATAAACATGGGGGCAGCTGCCAACATGGTTATGATGTGAAGGCCTAGAAAATGGTTATGCAAGTTGTGGAGACAAATACAGTCCACATTTTCCAAAACTGGTCTTTTAAAACATGGCAGCATGGTAGTTGGTCACATGGTCAAAAACATTTAAAATTCAGTGACTGTAAAGTAAAGTTAGCAAATGTTCTTGCAATTCTGTCATCATCTAGTCTCCAATAGTTGCAGCCTCGTAAGATATATAACCTTAACTTCTGAATTGTACCAAAATTTAGGAAAGGTACTTGTCGTATACTGTGCTTTAATGTCGAACCCAGGTGCAGGCAGACCATGGAGACTCTATGAATCAATTAAAGAATTTATTATTAAACAAAAGAAGCTGGCGAGGCAGCAAAACTGTTTGCAAAATTCACTGAGTGGATTGATAATAGGGCAGCACGGTGGCGCAACTGGTAGAACTGCTGCCTCTCAGCGAGCAGGTCCTTGGTTCAAACCCCAGTCCAGGGGCCTTCTGGGTGGAGTTTGCATGTTCTCTCCGTGCATGCATGGGTTTTCTCCGGGTACTCCGGTTTCCTCCCACAGACCAAAAACATGCATGTTAGGCTGATTGGTAACTCTAAATTGTCCCTAGGTGTGAGTGAGAGAGTGAATGGTTGTTTGTCTCGTTTGTCTCTATGTGGCCCTGTGATGGACTTGCGACCCGCCCAGGGTGTACCCCGCCCCTCGCACAGTGATTGCTGGACATGGGCACCAGCGACCCCCGTGACCCAAAATGGAATAAGCGGGTAAAGATAATGGATGGATGGATGGATGGATGGATTGATAACACTCTTTATACTTGAAGCAAGAACTCCCAGCTGGTTAGACTAGCTTAAGAAGCTAACTGAAAGTGTAGAATTGACAATTTAGGGTTTAAATTCTGTTTAACATGTATAGTTATCTGTCTGGTCTGTATTTTACTTCTAAGACCACAACCCATCATGTGTTTGTAGTTTTTACTGATACGGTGCTAGTTAAGGCCTCTTGTTTACTTGGCTTTATTTGAACTATGTTACCAGTCAGTTAGGACCCATGAACCCCTAAAAACAAACAAACAAAAAGTTGTACCCTAAATTAGAGTTTAAGCACACCGTGTTGGAGATTCCAGTTGGACAATGAAGGACTAAATTGTTTGCACCTGTGGATGTCACAAACTAATCACAGACTGGCCGATAGGTTTTACTCATGCAAGACACAGATATAAAGTGTGGCCAGTCATGCTAAAAACTGACCTATTAAATCCGTGAGCTTGCTCCTTCACATGGTCAGGATCTATTTTTTTAAACTCTCCTTTCTGTGTTGTGAGGCACTGCAGCTTAACCTCCATGCTTAGCCTCAGCTTAGGTTGCCGGGGTGAGACTCAGTCAAGTGACAGAGCTGCACAGTGAGGTTGTGATCAAACCAAATAAAGAAGCCCTTCAACAGAGCTGCTGCAGCTGCAGCCACAACCAAAAAAAAAATGAATAAATCAAAGAGAGAGGGATAAAGGGTGTAAATATAGAGGCAAAAAATTATTTGCCACCCAGCATTAAACATTAGATTTTATGCTTCCTAAATCAGACCTACCACTTTTTAAATATTTCTGTTTGCTTATGTACAGCATAGGTGTCGCAACCATTATATGAGAAGGGGACAAATCCCCCCCACATTCTAAAAACGTTCATTTGGACCGACACCCCCCCCCACACACACACACCCACACACACACATACACTTTTACTGAAACATTAGTTCAGGCGATGCAGTTTCTCTTTCTTCCTGAACAAATCCATTCCACTTGATTAATAGGAGAATATTCAAACCACTAAAACTCCACTCCAGGTTTTCCTGGTTACTTCCAACTCTAAACACAGCAGCCTGTTGCCACGGTCACAATATACAGTGGTCACAGAATATGGTGTAACACCTTCGGTGTTTCTGTGCTCTCCTTCTGCTTCGGCAGAAAACGCGCACAGGTGGAGGAGATGGAGACACCTCTGTTACTCGCTCGCCAGTTTAGCAAGCTTTTTGCAGGCAGTTATTGACTTGGGGGGGGGGGGGGGGGGGGGGTTTGATCATAAACATATATTCATGTTAGGAGGAGAGGAGTGGAGCGCTATGTCTGTAGCATCTTAGCAGTAGGTGTGACGCTGTAAGATGCTGCAGGTGTAAGAGACGCTGTCTGTTCAGGTGCATTAAAGTTTAAATGTCTTAAAAACCCACACCTTATTGTCCTCAAGCTTCATGAGAAACATTATTTAGATGAGTAGTGTTGAACACAAGTAAAATAGTCCAGTGGTGATGTTTTTTATTTCTCTATAAAGACAAATAGTGCCGACCTGATGCTCTATATTAAAGTGTATTAAAGTTAAAATTACTTTAAACCCACAGCTGAATTTACACAAACTTGGTGAGAAACATGTTTTAAATGTGTGGAATTAAAGGAAATTTAGGTGAAATGTTGCTTTTTGTACACTAATGATCACCTTTTTTTTTTTTACGTGCACACACGCACGCGCACACACGCACGCGCACACACACACCTACACACATCATTGCGTGTCCCCCCCACATTACGGATGCTTCTGACGCCCTTGATGTACAGTATTGGCGTAAAGAGTTTATTGTTGCAATAGTGTTAATGTAAGTGCAAAGTAAACATTGTTTGTATTAATATTTTTGTCCTTTAATAACTTTTTTAATAGATAGCTCAATTTAAATTTTCCCAAATCTGAGATGGGGCTCATTAGGTAACTGTACCAGATTCTAAGTTGGTGCCCATACATGAAATGTTACTCTAATTTTTATATGTTTATGTTCTCTCACTCATCCAGTATGAACAATTTGAAAGCACAATTGGCTTTAAGCTTTCCAACCACAGAGCTGCCAAGAAGTTGTGGAAGGTCTGCATTGAGCATCACACCTTCTTCCGGTAAGATTCACTTTGCTTCTCTGTCTGGAAGGTTTATGACTGAGTGTTATGTTGTTTATTTGTCATATGCAGGTTAACACAAGGTCAACAATGCAATGAAATGGATAAGATGAACCGATTTGACTCGCTGAAAAACAACAACAACAAAAAACTAAAGCATGCATTAAGGGTGCAAAATAAAGTACAAAAAAATTGAAAAGAAATATAATATTTACAAGATCCTACTTGCACTGTTATATTCTACCATGTTGTTTACTATATTTCTTTTGGAGCTTGTTAATATAATATTTACTATTCACAGGGGGCTGAGTGATACTAGCAATAACAGCAATGTAAGAGGGGGACAGTTGAACACGGAGGCCTCCACCCCTGTTTAATGATGGACGGTTTCTTTTCACAAAGATGGCCTCCTTTACTCCTCACTCAAACCATCGTTCCTCTCTATCAAAGATGTGAACATCTTCATCCCTGAAAGAGTGACCGCTGGCTTGGAGCACCCTGTGAATAGTAAAAAGCCATCAGTGTGATAATGATCCATCGTTAGGCTGATGGTCCTTCTTGATCATGTGAGCAGCTGGTTTTGGCTGTCAGCAGCAAACTGGTTGATCCACTGCGAGAGGTTGCTATTTATAAGACTGAGCTGAATACAGCACCTCAGACTGAGGAAGTCTTTCGGATGAAAGACGAAACGTTTCTACAATTTTTTTTTTATTGTATTGTTTTGTTTTTTTTTTAATGTCCAGAGGGCCAGATTGAACTTTTTAGATTGTATGAATAAGTATTTCAAGGTAGTAATAATATTAGCTTAAATGCACATGATATATATTGCACATAACTAACATATACTATTCAATTCAGTTTATTTATATTGTGCCAATTTACAACAAAGTTGTCTAATGGCACTTTACAGAAACATCCACATACATAGAAAAGCCAAGTAGTAAAGCCCTCTATCTAAGGCAGCCAGCAGACTGTTTGAATATTCACTTTGTCGCAGTCACCCATCCTAAGCAAGCACAAAGGAGACAGTGGAAAGGAAAAACTCCCTTTTAAAAGGAAGAAACCTCCAGCAGAACCAGGCTCAGGACAAGCGGTCATCTGCTTTGACTGGCTGGGTTTGAGAGGACAGGAAGGAGAGACAAACAAACACAGAATGGCAGGTCCAGATGTAGGTGCAGGTGCACCTGAAAGACAAAAACACGTCAACTACAGAGGTTGTGTGACAGGTTATTGCACAGGTAGTGAGTAACACTGAGATGAATTATGATAGTAAGGTAGTGACATACATGATACAGCCACATTAGTGCAGCAGCAATAAACATATTAGTTGTCACAGATGTGGCTTGGTGCAATGTTATTGTCAATAGTTCAGTATTATTATCAAGAGTTCAGTAATCTGACAGCTTGTTGGTAAGAACTGTCTTTGAGTTTTTACATGCGCGATGGCAGACTCCTGTATTGTCTGCCTGAGGGCAGTAGATGGAAAAGTCCTTTTGCTGGGGG